CAGCATCATTACTCTTGAACTTTGGGGCCATTATAAAATAAAATAAGGGTTACTTAACATAAGTGCTATGATCCCTCAACAGTCTATCTGATGACTGAGATGGCTGTTGAGTGACTAATAAGGTAACATGTTACAGTACAGATATGCTAGATAGAGTTGATTCATATCTGGGCCAGAGTGGAACTACACTAGATTTCATCACAGTACTCAGAATGACATATATTTTAAAACTATGAATTGTTTATTTCTGGAATTTTCTGTTTAATATTTTCAGACTGCAGATGACTGTGGGGAACTGAAAGGAAAGTGAAAGTGCAGATCAGGAGAAATATTGTAGTTAACAGACTATAAACTTATACTTTATTTCTTCCTTGTCTATCCATAATAAAAAAAGCTGTCAATTCTAAAGTGAATTTCTCAGATCATCAATGTTCTCATTGTTAGAAGTTTAAGCTTTCATTAGCAATAAAATTAGCTTAATTTTCACTAGGACAGGAAGATGCAGGAACATAGACATCTAAAAAGAAGGACTTTTTAAAAAGCAGAGGCATGCCATTCTGCAAGAGGATGAATTTCCTTGTAGCATCATGGATTTTCAGTTCTGAACTTATCCTAGCCATCAAAATCCTGCATTTCCAAAGATAAGATTCAACTTGAGTTTTGAATTGTGCTTTCATAATCTTGGCTCCTTCATTTCTGCTTCTAATTTGCTACATGTTCCCTAAATATTAGGTTACTCAACATCATCCTAGAACCATTCTTCATATTTATTCATATTTAAAAAATAAAAGATTACGAGCAGAGGCTTGGGGTTTTAATTTCATGGCACTTGTGGGAAAAGTTATTTGATACTGAGTTGTGCAAAGTTAACTTGAATATGTATGAAATAAGAGCCTATGTTTATAAAACATGTAAGAGAATGGTAAAGTGGAAATTAATATGTGATTGGGGGCTACAAGGAGAAATAAGTCGCAGTAGGCAAGAGAGGGTCAGACTTGTTCTTGACAGAAAATTAACATAAATGTATGCTGTAATAGTGAGTTAGTATTAGTTTACCATGACAGGCTAGTGGCAATAGAAGTCTGCTGCATTATACAATGGCCTTGAGAATTTAAATTAATAATTTGATTTTGACCTTAAGGAGTAGAATCAGTGGAACTATGTTGTAAGAAGGTAAAATATGAAACCAGAATAAAAATAGAACAGAGATTCTGTCAGCTTTAGGAGTTCTCAGCACAAAAATTCATGATTTATTCTTAAGAGTGGATAAGTCCTCGAAGTAGTTAGTGAAAAGAGCATACAGCAGAGAATAGAGATTGTCTGTTTCTTATAAATCATATTTCATTCTTTCAACAAATACCTTGTGAGCAATTAATATGTACCAAGCAATACATCAGTCAGAAGATAATGAAAAAGATTTAAGAAGCAGGATGGGATTCTCTTGGTGTTATAATACCCCAAATAAGGTACTGAAGATTTTAGGAATAATCAACACTTTGTGTGAAGGGCAACCCCACATGAAAGAAAATGATGAACAACATAATGGTTTATAATTTGAGTTCAGAGTTTAAAGAGAGATGAGGAAGTTAAAACTGTTGCAACTGGTGCTAAAAATACATTTTTCAGTTTTTTTTGTTTTCTTTGAAAAAATATAGCTCATATTTGTGAACACTTTCTAAGATTATAATCACATATTATAACGTGCAGGGAGGAAGTTACTGTATTCTAGAGAAAAGACAAAAATCTCAGTTAAGGTTAGATATGGTTTCAATTCTGAAAATATAGAAAATAGAAGTAAATCTATTTTAAAATATTTAGCAAATGAGGAATTTAA